TCCTTCCTTGAAGGTTTTTAAGGCCCGGCTTGACAAAGCCCTGGCTGGTATGATTTTGTTGGGAATTGGACCTGCTTTGAGCAGGGGGTTGGACTAGATGACCTCCTGAGGTCCCTTCCAACCCTGATATTCTATGATTCTATGACAAATTGGAGAAAGTCCAGAGAAGAGCAACACAAATGATTAAAGCTCTAGAAAACATGATCACCAGTTTTGGGGGAATCTGCTCTCCTTTTTACAGCCTATCCTGGCCTTGGCATTGTCAGTGAGGGCTACTCTAGGCACCTCAGATCACAACCCCAGCCCAGCCCCCTTGACCCTGACCCATCCTGTATGGCCACAGATTATACCCTGAGGTTACTATGTAGCGTTCAATCAGGCAAAATTCCCACTGATTTTGCCCAGATCAGAAGCTCAGAGTCCAGCCCTTTGATCTGAGTCTCACAGTGAGATACCTCCACTCTGGTGTGACCCATAAGGAGTGCGAAGCTGGAGAGATGGTCACAGCTGCAGATGGTGTGAGTGCTGTTCGTGTGGCGAACGGTGCAGCCATCCTCAGCCCAGATGCCTTTCCCAGCGATTAATTTCCAGTGAACGCAGCGAGTCTCTTCCTCCTCTTTCTTTGCCTGGAAACAAAAACACCCCATCATCATCATCCTCACTGGATCATGGGGAGAACACTGTTTCTTTTGTCACACATCTCTAATAGACAGTAATAAACCTGAAGTCACCAACGGCTTCATGGCTCTCATTGTGCTGCACGTAACAGCCATTTGGGACTTCCCATTGGCAGTGGAAATACAAGCGAGATCCTCCAGCTTCAATAGCACAAGGCCCTGACCCCAGAGCTAAAGTGGTAATTCCCTTAACTCTCAGCACTGTAGGGTCTATGACACACAATTGTGCAGTTCCAATTTGAGCCATTAAAAGGCATTCACACACCCGCCCACAAATACCCACATGCACGCTAGCAAGGTCATTACTTTATCAAAGAAGGCACCATCTCATGCTGTTTTCCTGAACTCTGCTATCTATAGGGCAGAGGTCCGCAAACTGTGGGGTGCGCCCCCCTAGGGGGACACAGAGGAACCTTCAGAGGGACATGACAGGTCCTGGGTCAGCCCCAATGGGGTGTGGAAAGAGAGCCCTTCCCCACCCTGAGCTCTGCTCTGGTCCCACCAGTAGCCACATCCCCAACTTCCAGCCCCATGTCTGGCAGCGTCCCCAGCTTCAGCATGGCTCCACTCCCAGCCCCAGCCCCTTGTGGCTCCAGTGCCGCCATGAGGTTGGCTGCTGGCCCCCACCACAGCCCGACTGTTGCTCCACTCCCGGCCAAGGCTCTGGTCCTGCTCCCAGCCCCAGACCCACCCTCAGCTGCGGCCTGAGCCTCAGCCCCCTTACCCCTGTCTATGTCCTTCCCCATCCCCCCCAAGCCACAGCCCCGCTCCCGGCCCTGGCTCAGGGGGAGGGGTGTGAACGGGTTGGGAGGTGCAACCCTCAAAAGTTTGGGGACCACTGCTATAGGGAGATTCCTTCCAATTATTCCTGCTCTAAGGGGTGAGCCAGACAGTTGTTACTCCTGAGCATTTTACATGATGAATCATAACCCAATCAGGCCTGGTGTGAATCCTATGTAACGTCCTCCCCAAAACAGCCCCCGTGTCAGGACTGAAGAAGCTCCCTCTCTTTCTCAGATAACTGTTTCTCAGTCCAGAAAGGCAACACAACTCAAATACCCTGCAGGAGACGCACCTTTTAAGTGACCAACTGGAGTCCCTGGCACAGAGGAAAGTAAAAGGATCTACACTCACCTGTCTATGGCGTAGGGTGAAGTTCACAGGTATGGGGAGGTTCATGAACCTCCCATCTCCAACAGCCCCACTCACCACCCTGGAATTCAGGTGAAAATTCCTCAATTTCTCATCAGCCATTAGATCTCCCTCCTTGAGAAATCTCTTGTTCATGATGGAGTCCAGGGTGAAGTAAGAAATAAAAGCAACAGCCCCAGAATCTGAAAACATGAAATGATGTTTCATCATAGAGCCAGGGACACTGAGACAAAGAAAGAGCAAGCCAGGTGCCAAAGGTCACAGTGAGTGTGGGGCAGAGCTGGGAAAAGAACCCAAGAGTCCTGGCTAGCAGTTTGAGCTTTAACCACTAGAATATATTGCCTCCTCCCTCTTTTTCCACAGAAGTCATTCTGTGTTGGAAACATCTGGCATGCACTATGGGAGTGTGATTCCTAAAGTGCACTAACGTATATTAGAGCACACTAGGGAACCTTTAGTGCACACTAGTAGGGTCTATATGGAACAATGCTCTTTAAAAGTGCTCTTTAAAAATCATACCCGCACACTGCATGTTATCCAGCTAGGTAGACAGCCCTACGTGAAAGGCACTGAGGTGAAGCCGTAGTTTTTCTTGGTTAGGAGAGGCAGAGGGGTTGCTTAGTGAGGAGCTTTCCCTAGTGATAAAGAATTAAGAACCAGTCCCAGTTAGGTCATACTGGCCTGAAAATAGGAGTAAAATCGGTAACTATCATCCTGATTCCATTCCAGGAAGACAGGCACATCAACCTGGGGTCTAGCTGGGCTCATCATCAGGACATCATGTGTTGGGCCAACGGATCTCTGATCTTTCCATTCTCTGGACCAATTCATATGCCTATCAAAGCTTCTCTCACCTCCCTGCCCCCTCACCCCCCATTGCTCAGTTTTCATGCTGTGGGACAACCAGGAATGAAGGGCTCTGCAGAGCTCAATGGCCTGAGAAACACTGGCTCAGCCAACAAGGTCCACACTAGTGTCAGGATAACAGAGGAAAGCAAGCTAGCCTGGGGCAAGAGGAAGGGGAGAACTAGGGCTGGGGTTTGGTGTCTAGTTAAAGGGATGAGTGCCTGGGAAGCACCAGGATGATACCTCCTGTGGCTGCTCTGGTGACCGTATTGCAGTGAATGTCCATCGTCTCATTCAGAGCTCTCAGCCTGAAGACATCATCACAGGGACCTGCAGCCGGGACAACGAGGAGCGTCTCGATAGCTGGGGAGGGAAATGGCAAAGCCTCTTGCTGCAAGGGCAAGTCAGGTTCGGAGCTCCACTCTCTCGGAATCCCACCACCCCCTCCCCCTTTCTCCTCACCTCCATTTCTCTGTGTTTCCCTGAGCCCCTCTGGCTGACCTTCTATGATCCATCATCCGTGTGTCCCCATGAAGATGCCACTGTGCGAAGACGCAGAAGGCAACTTCTCCCTGCTGCCTCACCTCTGCGGTTTAGCAGGGGAAGCAGCAGGAAGGGGTATTGCTGGGGCAGGGAGTGAAAGGAGGACGCAATGGCAGCTGCCTGTGGCGACAGGAGATTGGCATTGCTTTTAAAACCCTCTCAGGCAGCTGCCATTGCTGCAAAGCCCCTGGGCTGGGTTTATGGCTGGCGGGTAGCATAGGCCGGGGTAGCATTGTGCCTCCCCAAACAGCCTGGCATGGCCCCGCCCATGCTCCGCCCCCTGGTCCCCTCCTGCCTGCTTCCAATTCCCTTCCTGCTCTTCTGTGGCTGAGAGGCTGAGGCAGGCAGGCTGGGGCTGATGCTCACAAGGCCCAGCGCTGCGGGCGCTGGGGCCGGGGCCATGCCACGTCATGCTGTCTGCCCATCCGCCCAGCTCTGGATTTGGGGACGCTCCGGCTGCCTGGCGTTCCAGGGCTGGGGGTGCTCCCGCTGTGCTGCCCACCTGGTGCTCCAGGGCTGGGGTAGCGTGGGGATGGGGGCGGGTTGCTCTGGGCTCCAGCAGAAGAAGGGGGGTGGAACGGGAGGGGCCGGGAGCTAGTCTCTCTCAATGGCTCGATCACCTGCCACCCATTGCTGGGTTATAAACCCTGAGAGAGCGGCAGCGAGGCTGCAGTGGTGTTCTTTATTGAGAAGAGTATAACCCACTATCTTACAGCCACCACCAGGTGATGTTGGAGCCTCCCATCCTCCTCACCCATAGACTCTGTTGTCACAGTCTGGGTCGTATTCTCTGGTGACTTCAAAGCAGCTGTCAGTGCAGCCAATTCTACACTCTGCAGGAGGAACGTCACGGCAGAGGCCACCTCCCTCTTGCTCCCATTCCCACCAGCACTGAGGGTGGAGCTATTCAGGAAGGGATCAAAGGGGCCAGCAACTTCCTGGGATTGGGAAAGAAAACACCCTGAGAAGGAGGAAGGATTTCAGTGGTTCATGAGACACATTCTTCAGACTCCCAGGGGAACAATGACCCTCTTAGGGACATATGGGTTCATAGTGACCTTCTCAGAGGGACTGCAGCATTCTCAAAGAGGGAGCCCTTCACAGAGCGAGTACGTCTGCTGAGGCTTGCTCAGGACTCCACAGTAAGCTGAAGCCAGTGTTGGGCTAATGCCCTGTGTCATTCGCTCCTCATCCCTGGTCCCTTCAGTGTACGGGCCAGAGAACATTGCAACAAATCAGCAGGCATCTAGGTTCTCTCTGTGTTGCCCCCAGAAGCAATCTGGATCTTCCTAGGACCAGTGGGGACAGAGCCCAGATCCCCTGCCACTTAAGCTAGAGAGCATGCACATGCGCACACACACCCCTTTTCTGAAGAGCAGCTACAATTCCCCCCAAAGTGAGACTGCTATTCCAGTGCTCAGGGCATTTGGCCATAGAGTGCCCACACATGTAGGGGGAGAACCTCTGACCTGCAGCGATACTGCTCTGTCCTGGGCACACATGGTCTCCAAATTCACTAAGGTTGATTTCATGGAGGACCAAAATTCACTGTTGTTGCCCTGCAGAAGAATCAGAGGAAATGGGTTATTTCTGCAAGCATGGACAGTCCTCGCAAAATTAAGGTTAATGGTTTCACAGAGTGATCTTGCTTTGACCTATGGCTGGCTGGTAGTCCCACTAGAATGCCTACAGATTAAGACATGTTAAGGCTAAGTGTGGTGAAGCCCACAGACACACTGATATTTCACATAGAATTGAAGCTTTCGTGTATATTAATGAATTTCTCCTTCCCTTCCTCACAGGCATTTGTAAGGATTATTACCCTTACAAGTGGGGAACCAGTGCACAGAGAGACTGAGCAAATTGCCCAAAGTCACACAGTGAGTCTCGGGCAGGGATAGGAACTGAACTCTGACTTCCTGTATCTCTGGCTGGTGCCTTAACTGCAGAACTCTGATATACAGTGAGTGGGGGCGTTACATACCTAAGCATGATTATGGTTGAGTTTTCAAAAGCACTTGGTGTTGGATTGATTCTGCTCCCACTGAAGTCAGGTGGTAAACCTTGGATACAGGGCCGGCTCTAGGTTTTTTGCCGCCCCAAGCAAAAAAATGTTGGCTGCCCCCCACTCCACCTCGGGGTTCCTCACACCCTGCTGCCGCCCCAGCCCTGGGCTCTCCCCCCCAACCCAACCGCACCCTCCTGCCGCCCCAGCCCTGGGTCACTAGTAACTCGCTCCCAGGGTGGGTCATTCAGCAGGAATTTTGGATGTGCACAGAACACAGACAGGATTGGTTCCCATATGGTTAAAGAACTGCAGTAAAGTGCAACAATTTTCAGCTTGTGTGACTGGAGGATATCTGGATGCATATTATAAGACTGTCCTACATAAATGAGGAAAAGTTGAGGTGCCTTTATTATTCTTTTGTTCCACTCTTTGTTTCTATGGGGAATTTGCCAATGCAATATCACTGTCTTCCTTTTAAACAAATAAAACTTTAAAAAAAAAAAGGCAATGGCTGTTGAAAATAGCAATTCCAGTCCTAATAACCACTGGGAAGCATTTCTTGCTCAATTTTATCCTACTTTTCTACAGCAAGTTACAGTGGATCAGTATATTTCATTTGGGAGAAATGAAGTAACAGCTGCCCAAATTGAGCTTCAGCACTCCTGAATTTTGAGGGTGTTCAAATCTGGAAGGCAGGTGCTAGATTCCCCTTCTGACTATTAGCTAAATCTGGAAAGGAAAAGTCCATTTCTGCTTCCATGGCTCAGAAGTAGAAATCTTCCTACGTGCCTGGTACTGTATCTAAAGCTGCCCAGGTCCTCTAGTAGAGCCTCCCCTCCCTTACTTTTCATTTTAAATTCTAGTGGGATCCACGTACCTCCCTTGCTAGGCTTCAGATAGAGAGGTGCACTGTCCATTTAGTCCACCCAATTCTTTCTTTGGGGGCTGCAAGGTGAGGTCACACCAATATCCCTAATCCAGTCTGGGGATGTCTTCTGAAGGGGATATCTGGGCCAAAGCCTTCTACTCCTTGAGCACACTTGTTCCCCCGTTCACAGTGCCATCCCGTTCTAGCAGTGAGCTCTCTATTTACAGCAAGCTGCAGCATGAAGTCTCAGCTACCTCACTCCCTCCCCCTCCCTTTCCTGTTGATCACTGCCAAGGGAATGCTGGGAAATGTAGTTCTTTCCCTACTCCAGGGCTGGCTCTATAGGCAGGGAGCTAACCAAGGAACTACAGCTCCCAAGGCCCCCTGTTGGTTCTCAGCTCCCCTGCTGGATCCCTGCCGCCCCTACAAATGTGCTGCCCCAAGCACTTGCTTGCTTTGCTAGTGCCTAGAGCCGGCCCTGACTGGATAAGCAGAGAATCCTCAGGCTCAAAGTTTTCTGTGTACTATTTGTGAAAACTCTCAAAGCCCAAATAAACCCCTTTAACGTACCTGCAGACAGACATCTTTGCACATCTCCGACTGCTCTTTTATCTGTAGGGTCTCAGTCAGAGATTTAAAGGTAACATCTAGCAACAGAAAGAGAGGCAGGACAATTACATCAGGTCAACCTCTGCAGGGCTAAGGTTTTCAAAAGTGTCTCGTGATTTGAGACATCTTAAAAGGGCCCTGACTTTTGAAAGTGCTGAGCATTCACCCTCTGAAAATCAGGCCCCTTTAAGGTCTCAGGTTAGGCAACCAAAATCACAGGGCAATTTTGAAAATCTTGGCCTAAGTGACACACCTAAGGCCACACACACAGGGACTCTAGGACAGAGCTGGGAATGGACGCTTGATCACTTGAGTCCTTGCCTAGCATTTTAGCCACAAGGGCCGTCCTTTCTTCCTACCAGAATACAAAGTTGATGATCTACCTAAACCCAGCAGGTGTTTTCTCCCTTTAACTCTGGTGTGACCCATAAGGAGTGCGAAGCTGGAGAGATGGTCACAGCTGCAGATGGTGTGAGTGCTGTTTGTGTGGAGAACAGTGCAGCCATCCTTAGGCCAGATGCCATTCCCAGCGATGAATTTCCAATGAACGCAGCGAGTCTCTTCCTCCTCTTTCTTTGCCTGGAAACAAAAACACCCCATCATCATCATCCTCACTGGATCATGGGGAGAATACCGTTTCTTTTGTCACAAATCTCTAATACACAGTAATAAACCTGAAGTCATCAATGGCTTCATGGCTCTCATTGTGCTGCACATAACAACCATTTGGGACATCTCATTGGCAGTGTACATACAAGCAAGATGAAGAAGTTACTCACCTTGTGCAGTAACGATGGTGCTTCGAGATGTGTGTCCCTGTGGGTGCTCCACTCTAGGTGTCGGTGCATCCCTGCACTGGAGATAGGAGATTTCTCACAGCAGTACTCGGTTGGGTGAAGGGCGTGCACAGGAGTTGTCTCATGCAGCCATTGGCACCTCCTGTAGTGCACACTCCCCTGACCGTCCCCTCCATTCCTTCTCTACCCCAGAGCTTGGCTGTGTGAACTCCGAAGTAGAGGGGAGGAGGGTGGGTAGTGGAGCACCCACAGGGACACACATCTCGAAGAATCATTGTTACTGCACAAGGTAAGTAACTTCTACTTCTTCGAGTGGTGTTCCTGTGGGTGCTCCACTCTATATGCTTGTAGAGCAGTACCCCCACCAGGGGTGGTAAGGTTTCAGAGGTATGTATAAGTGTGTGATGAGAGCTCAGTGAGGCCAACGATAGAGTATGAGACAAGGCCTTGGGTGATAGCATAATGCTTTGCAAAAGCATGCTCTGATGTCCAGGTTGCAGCTCTACAAATATCTATTAAGGGGATATTGTTCAATAATGTGATTGATGTCGCCATGGCTCATGTTGAGTGGGAATCTGATGCCCACAGGGGGTTCTTTGTGATGCAGATGGTAGCAAGTTACAGGTAGAGACCCATTTGGAGAGTCTCTGGGTCGATATTGTAGAGCCCTTGGAGCGCTCTGCTGTAGAGACGAATAGTCTTGGTGACTTGTGGAATGGTTTAGTTCTGTCCAAGTAGAAGGCTACAGCCCATCTGACATCTTGCATGTGCAACGTTGCTTCTCAAGAGTCGTTATATGGCTTGGGATAGAAGGCAGGTAAGTGTATGTTTTGGTTAATATGAAAATGTGTAGCCATTTTGGGCAAGAATTTTGGTGAGGATGCTAACATAATTTTGTCTTTGTTAAATACAGTGTATGGTGGTTCAGCCATCAATGCTCCTATTTTGCTGACACGTCTGGCAGACGTGATTGCCACTAGGAATGCGACCTTCATTGACATATGAAGGAGCGAGCAGGTTGCTAGAGGTTCGAAGGGTGGTCTTGTGAGACATTTGAACACAAGATTGAGATCCCAGGGTGGTGCAGGTTGCCGTACTTCTGGGTACATGTTCTGTATACCTGCTAGAAAGCGCCTAGCTGTGTAATTGGGTGAGTGAATATTGAAGCCCCTTCTATCTGTCTGTGGAGGACCGTGATGGCAGCCAGGTGTACTTTAATAGAGTTTATGGCTAACCCCGTTTCCTTCAGTTCTAGTAGGTAGTCTAGGATCATAGATAGCAGCGCCTTGGTCGCATCCAGCTGTTTTTGCTGACACCAAAGAGAGAATCTTCTCCACTTGTGGTGGTAAGTATTTCTAGTGGTGAGGTGATAGCTATTTAGTAATACCTGTTTTACTTTCTCCAAACAGTTCAATTCCCCATGCTGGAACCAGAGAGGAGCCACACTTTGAGATGGAGTTTCGCTGGGTCTGGATGGAGCGTCAGGCCCTTGCTCTGGGACAGAAGATCCGTCCGGAAAGGCAGCGGTTGTGGGGCAGAGACTGCTAGATGTGAGAGGTACAGAAACCAAGTCTGTCTCTGCCATGTGGGGACAATGATAATGATGTATGCTCTGTCGAGTCGTATCTTGCGGATGACCCGTGGGATCAGTGGGATCGGTGGGAAGGCGTACATGAGTGATGCGTTCCACAGGATGAGGAAGGCATCCCCTAACGATCCCGGTGTCAGGTCTGCCCTGGAGCAAAATAGTGGACATTTGTGATTTATCACTGAGACGAAAAGGTCGATTTCTGGGTGACCCCATTTTTGGAATATTGTGTCAAGAACACTGTTGTGGATTTCCCACTTGTGTTCCTGTGAGAAGTGCCTGCTGAGATTGTCGGCTGTAGTGTTTTGGCACCCTGGTAGGTATGATGCTGTGATGTTTATATTGTTGCAGATGCACAAGTTCCATAAGTTCATGGCTTCTATGCATAGAGAGTGAGACCTGGCTCCCCCTTGGTGACTGATGTAAAACATGCACGCAACATTATCAGTGAGAATAGAGATTGAGGTTTCTCGTATGAGTAGGAGGAAGTGTCGGCATGCATTGTGTACCATGTGGAGTTCCAGGAGATTGATATGTAGTTGAGTTTCTGTCACATACCACTTGCCTTGTACATTGTGGTGACCCAAGTGGGCTCCCCAACCTATCAGAGAGGCTTCTGTTCTAATAGTCACTGATGGGGGGTCTTGTTGAAAGGGAATCCCAGAGTATACATTCCCTGGCTGTGTCCACCATTGTAGGGAGAGGATAACTCTTGGTGGTAGTGTCACAAGTCTGTTGAGAGAGTGTTTGCTGGGTACATAGACCGTGTTCAGCCATTGCTGAAGACAGCAAATATGGAGTCTGGCATACTTTACTATGAAAGTTATAGCTGCCATATGTCCTAGAATCTGAAGGCATGTCCTCACTGAATTTTATGGGCTGATGGTTACCATGGAAATAAGATTGGTCAATGTAGTGAATCTGTGGTTTGGCAATATTGCCTTGGCTTGTATGGAGTCTAGGTCAGCTCAGATAAACTCCAATCGCTGGGTTGGTTCCAGGGTGGATTTCTTTTTGTTTATCTGTAGACCTAGCTGGTGAAACAGGTCTATTGTGGTCTTCAGCATGCCTGCCGTTTCTTGTCCATTGGCACCCTTGAGAAGGCAATTGTCCAAATGGGGGAAGATTATGACTCCTTTGCGTCGTAAATGTGCTGCTACTACCGCGAGCATTTTTGAGAATATGCGGGGAGCAGTGGACAGTCTGAAGGGAAGGATCCTTTATTGGTAGTGGTTGGGTCCTACTGTGAATCGCAGGAACTGTCTGTGGGCAAGATGTACTGTAATATGGAAGTTTGCATCTTGGAGGTCGAGGGCTGCAAACCAGTCCTCCCCATCTAGCACTGGGATTATTGTGGCCAGAGTGACCGTTTTGAATTTGTAGTTGCGTACGAACCTGTTGAGTTTTCAGAGATCTAAGATTGGTCTCCATCCCCCTCCTTTCTTCTCTGTTAGGAAATATTTGGAATAAAAACCCCTCCCTCGGTATTGATATGGTTCTGGTTCTACAGCACCCAGCAGTAGGAGGTGGTCTACTTCCTGTTGCAGAAGGTGCTCATGAGAGGAGTCCCTGAAGAGGGACGGGGAAGGAGGGAGGGTAGGGGGGATGGCTGTGAAAGGAATGGTGTAGCCAGATTGTATGATCTCCAAAACCGATTGATCTGTGGTTATCACAGCCCAGGCATGGTAAAATGGGCATAGGCGATGACCAAAATTGTCGGATGGGGTATCTGTTGGCGCTAGAGGTGTGGGGAGGTCATGCATACCCTCGACCAAGACTACAAAATTGTGTCTTAGATGTAGATGGACGGGCAGATGAGGCCTGGTTCTGTGGAGCTCGTCGTCTCTGGGCCTGTTGTTTGGGTCTGTTCTGAGTGAAGTATCGTGGCTGTTGATGGTTAAACAAGGTGTCTCATGACCTCTGGTATGATGTAAAGTGAGGGCATTTGTCAGGCGGTGGGTGTATGCCTAGTGTATGCGGTGTCGTTCAGGAGACCTTCATGGTATGGAAGACGTCGTCTGTTTGAGATGAGAATAGTTTATTCCTATCGAAGGGGATGTCCTCCACTTTTAGCTGTAGTTCTTTTGGAATTCCCGAAGCCTGCAACCATGATGTTCTTCTCAGAACCACTGCTGTTGCAGTTGTTTGGGCAGCTGTGTCTGCTACATCCATTGAGGCTTGCAGCGCTGTGCGGGCTATTAACTGACCCTCGTTGATAATGGCATTGAGTTGAGGATGTTTATTTTTGGGGAAGTCTTCCATGAGCTCTTGTATTTTACTATAGTTAAAGTAGTCGTAATTCGCTAGTAGAGCAGAATAGTTGGCAACTCTAAGCAGAAGGGTAGCTGACGAGTACTTTCCGCCCAAAGAGGTCCAGTCTCTTGTGTTCTTTATCTTGCGGTATGGAGCGGAAATGAGGCTGTTTACTGCACTGATTAGCAGCCTCTAGTACCAGAAAACAGGCTTGACGGTGTGAAAACAAAAATTCCATGCCTTTGGCTGGAATGAAATATTTTCTGCCAGCCTTTTTGCTGGTGGGTGGTGCCGATGCCGGTGTTTGCCATATTACCTCCGCAGGCTCCATTATAGCCTCATCCATGGGGAAGGCAATCTTGGTCGATGATGCCAGTTGTAAGATTTTTAACAACTTATGTTGTTTCTCCTGCACCTCACGTAAGGCAATTTCTTGGCTGTTTGCTATTCTTTTGAAGAGTTCTTGGAACTGTTTCAGGTCATCTGGTGTCATTGAGGTAGACAGTGTCACCGCTTTGTCTGGTGCAGAAGATGAGTGTGGGAGAGGTGGTGAATCATCCAGGTCTGCCTGAGATAGTATCTCTTCCTCTTTTATCTCTGTCTCAGGGGGGTCAGAGGTTTCTCTGTGTGGTAAGGATGGGTGTACTCTGAAACCTCTTGTTGCTGGGGAAGGGGGACCAGAATAGGGGTTCTGGTATGTGGACCAAGGACCCCATTATGGCCATTGAATGGGGTAAGGTGGTGTGACGGGTTGGATCACAGAAACATTCTTGGGAGCTGCCACCCGATGTGCCAAGACTACTTCTATCCCTGTTTTCCCTGCCAGCTCAGGACTCCAGCACCCTGTCTTGCTGAACCAGACACTCCCGTCTGCTCCAATACAGACCCAGGATCTGAATTACTTGCCCCAAAGCTGCAGGTTTACCTGAAAACAGCTCACAGAAGTGTGCTTGTCTTTAACACTCAGATACCCAACTCCCAATGGGGTCTAAACCCAAATAAATCAGTTTTACCCTGTATAAAGCTTATACAGGGCAAACTCATAAATTGTTCGCCCTCTATAACACTGATAGAGAGATATGCACAGTTGTTTGCTCCCCCAGGTATCAATACATACTCTGAGTTAATTAATAAGTAAAAAAGTGATTTTATTAAATACAGAAAGA